CCTCTGAGCCTCAGTTTCCTCCTCCATAAAATGGATGTCATAGCACTATTTAACTCGTGGAATTTTTGTGATAGTTACATACTAAATTATGCTTGGGAAGGGATTAGCAGAAGGCTTATCACAGAATTAGTAGGTTTCAGTTAGTAGTAGATTTCGGTTAGGAGTGCTTTTGCCTGCAAGTAACAGCAGACTTGACTGCCAATGTCTCATACAGTAGAAAACACAAATTCTGTTTTGTTTGTTTTTTGAGATGGAGTCTGGCTCTGTCACCCAGGCTGGAGTGCAATGGCGCAATCTTGGCTTACTGCAACCTCTGCCTCCTGGGTTCAAGCGATTCTCCTGCCTCAGCTTCCCGAATAGCTGGGATTACAGGCATGAACCACCACACCCAGCTAATTTTTGTATTTTTAGTAGAGATGGGGTTTTGCCATGTTGGACAGGCTGGTCTCAAACGCCTGACCTCAAGTGATCCACCCACCTCAGCATCCTAAAGTGCTGGGATTACAGGCATGAGCCACCTCGCCCCGCCTGATCTTTTCAACACCTCACAGGATAATGTGCTGGCCCTGTACAACGATATGCTGGTGTGAGCAGGAAATAATTTATCTATCATGTCTGCTAAGACAGAGTGCTGGAGGGTAGGGGAAAGTCCCAGAACATATATGGGGTTTCTCAGTGAAATCTGTATGTGTCAAGTGGTATAAAACATGAGAGGATATTTCCTATGTGAAAGATACTTTCCACCCCCTACAGTTAGGGAATTGCTTTTTTGTTTTGTTTTGTTTTGAGACAGAGTCTCACTCTGTCGCCCAGGCTGGATTGTAGTGGCACAATCTCGGTTCACTGCAGCCTTGAACTCCTGGGCTCAAGTGATGCTCCCACGTCAGCCTCCCAAGTAGCTGGGGTTACGGGCATGTGCAACCATGCCAGGCTAATGATTTTGCTTTTTGAGACAGAGTCTCACTCTGTCCCCCAGGCTGGAGTGCAGTGGTGTGATCTCAGATCACTGTAACCTCTGCCTCCCGAGTTCAAGCCATTCTCCTGCCTCAGCCTCCTCCTGAGTAGCTGGGATTATAGGCGCGCGCCACTATGCCCAGCTATTTTTGTATTCTTAATAGAGAAGGGGTTTCGCCATGTTGGTCAGGCTGGTCTCGAACTCCTGACCTCGGGATCTGCCTGCCTCGGCCTCCCAAAGTGCTGGGGTTTCAGGTGTGAGCCACTGCGCCCAGCAGGCTAATGATTTTTGTATTTTTAGTAGAGACGGGGGTCTCCTCATGCTGCCCAGGCTGGTCTTGAACTCCTGGGCTCAAGCAATTCACCTGCCTCGGCCTTCCGAAGTGCTGGGATTACAGACGTGAGCCACCACGCCCAGCCAGGGATTTGCTTTAATCACACTTTTATGAACTTGGTGACACCATCCTGGTTCAGAACGCCTAACATACCTGATAAAATATTTTTATTTTTTATTTTTTTGAGACAGAGTCTCGCCCTGTCGCCCAGGCTGGAGTGCAATGGCGTGATCTCGGCTCACTGCAACCTCCGCCTCCCGGGTTCAAGTGATTCTTCCTGCCTCAGCCTCCTGAGTAGCTGGGATTATAGGTGTGTGCCGCCACACCGGGCTAATTTTTTTTTTTTTTTTTTTGAGACGGAGTCTCGCTCTGTCGCCCAGGCTGGAGTGCAGTGGCCGGATCTCAGCTCACTGCAAGCTCCACCTCCTGGGTTCACGCCATTCTCCTGCCTCAGCCTCCTGAGTAGCTGGGACTATAGGCGCCCGCCACCTCGCCCGACTAATTTTTTGTATTTTTTAGTAGAGACGGGGTTTCACCGTGTTAGCCAGCATGGTCTCGATCTCCTGACCTCGTGATCCGCCCATCTCGGCCTCCCAAAGTGCTGGGATTACAGGCTTGAGCCACCGCGCCCGGCCCGGGCTAATTTTTTGTATCTTTAGTAGAGACGGGGTTTCACCATGTTGGCCAGGCTGGTCTCCAACTCCTGACCTCGTGATCCGCCCACCTTGGCCTCCCAAAGTGCTGGGATTACAGGCGTGAGCCACCGCGCCCGGCCTAAAATATTTTAAAAGTATTTTTAATGCAAAATTGAGCTGGTGGGAAGGTAAGGGAACTCCTGGAGTCCAGAAATCTTACAGAAATATAAATCCAGAGGTGTTTGGTGTTGGAGTTGGTACTTGCTGTGAGGAAATCTGCTAATTTTGATGACGAGAACCTGCATGACTCAAAATGTGAAGGGAAAAGACAGAACCCAAGGCCCAAGCAGGATGAGATGCCAGAGTGGAGACCACGTGGATGCCGGGAACCCCAGGAGGCAGTACCCTCCAGTGGGTAGGTTGGGAAAAAATGCCCCTCACAGAGGTAGGAGGTTGGGGTGATTAGCTATCTTCACCTTGTTAGTGAGCAAATGATTGAAAGAAAGCCTTCTGGGCCGTGCGCGGTGGCTCAAGCCTGTAATCCCAGCACTTTGGGAGGCCGAGGTGGGTGGATCGCGAGGTCAGGAGATCGAGACCATCCTGGCTAACACGGTGAAACCCCATCTCTAGTAAAAATACAAAAAAATTAGCTGGGCGTGGTGGTGGGCACCTGTAGTTCCAGCTACTCGGGAGGCTGAGGCAGGAGAATGGCGTGAACCCGGGAGGCGGAGCTTGCAGTGAGCCCAGATCGCCCCACTGCACTCCAGCCTGAGCGACAGAGGGAGACTCCGCCTTAAAAAAAAAAAAAAAAAAAGAGAAAGCCTTCTGTTAATAAGCCTGCACTCACAAATTTGGGACTTAAATTCCCGCCATCTGACAAGTCCAAAATTTCATCTAAATTAATGTCTGGTTAGGAATGTTCCCAAGTACATGTTAACATTAAACAGAAGTCAACTAAGATGCTAAACCATTTCCCAAGTAGTTCCCAAAGATAACGTTTTGAGGAACATGAGTTAGCCATGAAAAGGAGTGGGACATTGTGGCTCACACCTGTAATCCCAGCACTTAGAGAGGCAGAGGCGGAAGGATGGCTTGAGGCCAGGAGTTCAAGACCCTGGCCTGGGCAACATAGGGAGACCGTCTCTACAAAAAATACAAAACTTAGCCCAGCATGGTGGCATGGGCCTGTAGTCCCAGCTACTCAGGAAACTGAGGCTGAAGGATTGCTTGAGCCCAGGAGGTCGAGGCTGCAGTGAGCCAAGATGGTGCCACTGCACTCCATTCTGGGCAACAGAGTGAGACTCTCAGAAAGAAAAAACAAAAACAAGCAAAAAAACAAACAGTGGCTGGGCCCGGTGGGTCACGCCTTTAATCCCAACACTTTGGGAGGCTGAAGTGGGCAGATCACGAGGTCAGGAGATCAAGACCATCCTGGCTAACACGGTGAAACCCTGTCTTTACTAAAAATACAAAAAGTTAGCCGGGTGTGGTGGCATGTGCCTGTAGTCCCAGGTACTCCAGAGGCTGAGGCAGGAGAATCGCTTGAACCCAGGAGGCAGAGATTGCAGTAAGCCGAGATTGCACCACTGCACTCCAGCCTGGATGACAGAGTGAGACTCCATCTCGGGGGGGAAAAAAAAATGTACTATGGAAAATGAGTAAACATGCATAAATGCATAGAAAATATTAAAACATTCAGCAAACAACCCAGATGTCCAAAAGATGTCTAGTTCATTATACTAAGATACAGCCTTACATTGTAGCTGTAAAAAAAAAAAAAGCCCAGTGGAGTAGCTCATGCCCAGCACTTAGCACTTTGGGAAACTGAGGCGGGAGGAACAGTTGAAGCTAGGAGTTGGAGACAAGCCTAGACAACATAATGAGGCCCCATCTCTTTCTATATATTAAAAAAAAAGAAAAAAAAACCCTGATATATAAATCTTTCCATATACAACTGAAAAAACTCAAGATGCTGATAGAGGTATATAATATGCTACCTTGATTTTATATTTTTAAAAATGTATACCACATGATGCAAATTAACTGCCTTGATTTTAAAAGGGAAAATGTACAATATTTAGATTGATGTTTATTTGCATATGCATTAGAAAACTTGAAAGGCATACAGTGAAAAAGCAAAAAACAAGCAAAACCAAGAAAACAACAACAACAAAACCCCAAGCCATAAGCAATGACACCTGCATGGAATAGTTCTGAGTTTGACAGAGGACAGCAACCAGAGAGAGTTCTCACAGCATCTTTTGATACTTTTTTTCTTTTTTTTTGAGACGGAGTCCCACTCTGTTGACCAGGCTGGAGTGCAGTGGCGTGAACTCAGCTCACTGCAACCTCTGCCTCCCAGGTTCAAGTGATTCTCCTGTCTCAGCCTCCCAAGTAGCTGGGACTACAGGCGCGTGCCACCACACCCGGCTAATTTTTTATTTTTAGTAGAGATGGGTTTCACCATATGGGCCAGACTGGTCTTGAATTCCTGACCTCAGGTGATTCACCAGCCTTGGCCTCCCAAAGTGCTGGGATTACAGGCGTGAGCCACTGCGCCCGGCCGATACTTTTTTTGTTGTTGTTGAGTCTTGTGAATAGAATACATATTCTAGAATAAAAAGCTTAAAATTAAAAAAGTTTATTCCACACCTACCCAATTTCACATAGACTTGAAAACATGGATCATATAATAAATACGTGGGTTTTTCTACTGAATATTTACCGTTCATCTAAAGTACCTCAGAAAACACAAATATGAATCTTACACTGGATTTGTTGACATGACCACAAATTGTGAAATTTCAAAGTCCTCTCAATAGCCTTCCAGTCCTAGTAACTCAGGTACACCTGGATTCCTGACAACTCTATTTCTTTGTTTCCTTTCATCACTTTGGTTCATTTCTATGGGTTCTATTATTGGCATTTTTTTTCTCAGATCTTTGCAAAACCATCCTTTATGGTGAAAGTCTTGAAGGATTCTCCACAAATGCAGGAAAATGCATTGCTAAAAAAGTGCTAAGTCAGAAGTATCTTGGGACCTGTTTGAACACAAGATTCGGCCGGGCGCGGTGGCTCAAGCCTGTAAAGTAATCCCAGCACTTTGCAAGGCCGAAGCGGGAGGATCGCTCAGGTCCAAGCGTTCGGGACCAGCCTAGGGATGCGAGACTCCCAGATTCAACAGTCTTGTCTGTTTCCATTTCGCAGTGTGCTTCCTCCTTCAATTGCACATTGCCGTATTCCCTTCCAGTTTGCATTCCCCCTAACGACAGAGTTAACTAAACTGGCACAGCCTGCCTGTTCTTTTGATCCGAAAAGGGTCACTTGGCTATTCTTTGCCACCAGTCCCATCATCACAGCCGACTCAGTCGGCCAGAGGACTGAGGGCCTCGGAGGCAGTCAGCGCTACAGTAAACGCGACAGCAGCGAAGTCCATCTGCGGTGGATCCGCGTCAAAGGCTGCTTCCCTCGCCCTGCAGCCTTCCACGAACAGCCTGCGGCGTTCCTCGAAATCCCGTAGTAATCTGACCGGAATCATGGAGCTACCATCCAGATACTCGCGGAACAAGAGCTGCCGGTTAATTTCTAAGAAAGCGAGCTGCTGATGGGGGTCTGGCGCGGACGCCAGGCCCGGGACGCTGCTGGGGATGGGCTCGGGCACAGGGCTCGGCACCCGCGCCATGGACCGCGTAGCTTCGGCCACTAGGCCTTCCCGGGACTCCTGCACCCGAACCCCGCCGCCGACTGCCCCCTGCAGTATGTCGCTGACGCCACTCGCTGTGCCCACCTGTGGGACACTGCTGTCTCCGGGGAGCTCAGACATCTCCAACAGTCCAGTCGACTCCGCCATAGTCCGAGTGTTTCTACGGAGACGGAAATAACGGTATTGCGCTGCTGTATGCAGGATATGCGCATGCGCGAGTCTCGGTGTGTGCGTAAACGCTGCGCGTGCGACAGTGTGCGCATGCGTAAGCACGGTGCACGCTCCTCGAGCGTTCCCTAGCGGTCCTGAGTAGCCATTACGTCTGTAGCCGCCTCTGGTCCTCTGAGCGCCTGAGGACCTGCGGACTGTGCGGTGTTTTAAATTACAACCACTTCAATATTAATGTAAAGTTCCTTATAAGGTCATTTTCCAGCTCCTGTCTTTTTTTTTTTTTTCCAGACTGGGTCTCGCCCTGTCACCTAGGCTGGAGTGCGGTGATGCGATCTCGGTTACTGCTGCTTTGACCTCCCAGCTTCAAGCCATCCTCCTGCTTCAGCCTCTGGAGTAGCTGGCACCACCACACCCAGCTAATTTTTTATTTTTTGTAGAAATTGGAGCTCACTTTGTTGCCCAGGCTGGTCTCGAACTTCTGGTCTCAAGTGATCATCCTGCCTTGGCCTCCCAAAGTGCTGGGATTACAGGCCTAAGCCACGTGGCCTGGCCTGTAAGTAATATTTTGACACTGCAAGTTTGGGGGTTTCCCAAAACCACCTTTAGGCCTGATAATTCCCAGAGCTCATTGAAATGTTATACTCAGTCATGCGTATTACAGGCAAAGGACACAGATTAGAAGAGATGTATAAGGCACAATCTGGGATGGGGAGGGTTTCAACTGTGAAGTTCCTGTGTTCCTAGGGATGTGTTACCCTTTGTCGTCCATGTGTGGCAATAAGTGCGGGGGTAGTGCTGACATAGGACTCTTACCCAGGCTTTGGTGTCGAGAATTTTTATTGGGGTTTTACTACATAGGCATGCTTGATTAAACCATTGCCCATTTTGTTGAAGTCAATCTCCAGCCTCCTACCTGATATCACATGGCTCCAAGCCCCAACTCTCTAATGATGTGGTTAGTCTTTCTGTGTGGCTAGCTCTGATCCTGATGATAACCCAAAATGTGAAAGTCTGTGTTCCATTTAAAATCAGTCAGCTGTGGCTGGGTGTAGTGGCTCATGCCTGTAATCCCAGCACGTTGGGAGGCAAAGGTGGGAGGATCGCTTGAGCCCATGAGTTTGAGACCAGCCTGGGCAACATAGTGAGACCCCTGTCCCTACAAAAACATATCAGGCAGGCATGGTGGCATGTGCACCTGTAGTCACAGCTGTTCAGGAGGCTGAGGTGGGAAGATGACTTGAGCTTGGGAGGTCGACTGTGCAGTGAGCTATGATTGCATCACTGCACTCCAGCCCTGTGTGACACAGCGAGACCCTGACTCGAAAAAAAAAAAATTCTTTGAATTTAACTGGAATCCAAATATGAGAGTTGCTGGCAATTGAACTTCAGGAGGATCCATCTAACAATTCTGACCTATCACAGGTCGTGTCTGGGAGCTGATTGGGTTGGAAATCATTCTGACTCATGCGTACCTTGCTTTGTTTCTACAATTCTCTTGGAGAGATGGAGTGAGTTCTCCCACATGTGACATATATGCTTCAAAAGGCACATTTGTGATATTCCACAGAAGACAAAAGAAAGGACTTCTTTGGAAGGTAACTTTAAATTAGGCAGATAGCTTGATCACTGGAGGGAATTGGTAATTATGAGCTAGCCGTAAAGTCTCCAGAATTCAGCATAGCTTCCAATTTGAATGGCTATAATAATACACTGCTCATTACCTGCAAGTCAAAGAGGCCAGAGAAACTCTCTGGAAAAATAGAAAAATCAAGTAAAAATTCTTAAAGTAAGTTTTAATGCTGAATCTCCAACTACCTTATTTTATTTTTATTTTTTTGAGACAGAGTCTCACTCTGTCACCCAGGTTGGAGTGCAGTGGGCACGATCTAGGCTCACTGCAACCTCCACCTCCCGGGTCACTGCAGCTTACACTTCCTGGGCTGAAGCGATTCTCCTGCCTCAGCCTCCTGAGGAGCTGGGATTACAGGTGCCCACCACCGTGCCCAGCTAATTTTTGTATTTTTAGTAGAGACAGGATTTCGCCATGTTGGCCAGGATGGTCTCAAAACTCCTGGCCTCAAGTGATTTGCCCTGCCTCGGCCTCCCAAAGTGCTGGAGGCCAGGCGCGGTGGTCATGCCTGTGATCTCAGCACTTTGGGAGGCAGAGGAGGGTGGATCACGAGGTCAGTAGATTGAGACCATCCTGGCCAACATGATGAAACCCCATCTCTACTAAAAATACAAAATTAGCTGAGTGTGGTGGTGCACGCCTGTAGTTTCAGCTACTTGGGAGGCTGAGGCACAAAAATCGCTTGAACCCAGGAGGCGGAGATTGCAGTGAGCTGAGATCGTGCCACTGCAGTCCAGCCTGGCGACAGAGTGAGACTTCATCTCAAAACAAAACAAAACAAAACCAAAAACCAAAATAAAGTGCTGGGATTACAGGCGTGAACCACCACGCCTGGCCGCCAAAACACAATTTTTGATAATTAGTCCCAAATAAATTCTGACCACAGCTTCTCCATCTCAACTGAAGGCAACTCAATCCTTCTAGTTGTTCCAAATGAAAAATCTTGGAGTCATTTGTTCTCTCTTTTTGTGTGTGTGTGTGTGTGTGCGCGGATTCTCACCCTGTCACCCAGGCTGGAGTGCAATGGCACCATCTCGGCTCACTGCAATGTTTGCCTCCTGGGTTCAAGTGATTCCCCTGCCTCAGCCTCCCAAGTGGCTTGGACTACTGGCACACACCACCACGCCTGGCTAATTTTTTGTATCTTTAGTAGAGATGGAGTTTCGCCGTGTTGGCCAGGCTGGTCTCGAACTCCTGACCTCATGATCCACCTGCCTTGGCCTCCCAAAGTGCTGGGATTACAGGCATGAGCCACCACGCCTGGCAACATTCTCAAATATGACATTCAATCTGTCAGCAAATTTTGTTGGGTCAGCTTTCTCAACATAATGAGAATCTGTTGTTCACTGTTTACACTTCCTCTGCACCCATCCTGCTGAACCACCACCATCTCTTCCCCAGATTATTACAATAGCCTCCTGCTGGTCTCTCTGCTTCTACTTTGCCCCCTACAATCTATTTTTAATAAAATATCCAGAATGGTTATTATTATTTTTCTGAGATGGAGTCTCGCTCTATTGCCCAGGCTGGAGTGCAGTGACATGATCTCAGCTCACTGCAACCTCTGCCTCCCGGGTTCAAGTGATTCTCCTGCCTCAGCCTCCTGAGTAGCTGGGATTACAGGTGCCCGCCACTATGCCGGCTAATTTTTGTATTTTTAGTAGAGACAGCATTTTGCCATGTTGACCAGGCTGGTCTTGAACCTCAAGTAAACCACCCACCTCAGCCTCTCAAAGTGCTGGGATTACAGGCGTGAATCACTGCACCCAGCCCACAATGATTATTTTAAAATGCAAGTCAGACAGCTCACTCTTCAACTCAAAACCTCCAGTAACTTCACTTCCCTCAGAATAAAAGCCAAAATCCCAACAATGGTCTATAATTCCAATACCAGTTCAGGCCAACTTGCTACTTCTCTGACTTCATCCCCATTCCTTTCCCCTTGCTTGCTCTGCTCCAAATCAAGGTGACTTCCTCACTACTTCTCAAATACCTCAGAGAACTCCTGCCTTAAACAGTGACTGTTTAGTTTGCCTGGAATACATATAACTTGTAATAATATATGACATAAATAACATGTATTGTGTACAATAACATATAAAATATATTCTATATTTATAATACAAAATAATTTATTATGCCTATTTCCTCTATTTGAATGGAACCTGAATTCCACAGGGCAGGGAATTATAAAAATTTACCATTTTAGGCCGGGCGCGGTGGCTCACGCCTGTAATCCCAGCACTTTGGGAGGCCGAGGCGGGTGGATCACAAGGTCAGGAGATCGAGACCATCCTGGCTAACACGGTGAAACCCCGTCTCTACTTAAAATACAAAAAATTAGCCGGGCGTGGTGGCGGGTGCCTGTAGTCCCAGCTACTTGGGAGGCTGAGGCAGGAGAATGGCCTGAACCCGGGAGGTGGAGCTTGCAGTGAGCCGAGATGGAGCCACTGTACTCCAGCCTAGGTGACAGAGCGAGACTCTGTCTCAAAAAAAAAAAAAAAAAAAAAAAATTTACCATTTTAAGCCAGGCGTGGTGGCTCAGTCTGTAATCCTAGCACTTTGGGAAGCTGAGACGGGTGGATTGCTTGAGGCCAAGAGTTCAAGATTAGCCTGGGCGACATGGTGAAAACCCATCTCTACAAAAAATACAAAAATTAGCCAGGCATGGTTGTAGGTGCCCGTAGTCCCTGCTACTCAGGAGGCTGAGGTGGGAGAATCACCTGAGCCTGGGAGGTTGAGGCTGCAGTGAGCCATGATTATACCACTGCACTCCAGCCTGGGTGACAGAGGTGACATACTGTCTCAAACAAACAAACAAAGAAACAAACAACCAAACGAACAAAAAATTTTTTTAAAGAGATAGCATTCTTTATTTGAAGGCTGAGAGAGATTTTCTCCTGACAACACTTCTGACACCAAATATGTGTGGGATTTTCCATAACAATTCTCCAAAACAAAGTGAGTGTCCCACAGTTCCATTCTGATACCAACTATTTGCAGTTAGTGCAGACCCCACAGGTCCCATAAGACTATGCCCACTTCAGATGCCAGTCACAAATGGAGTATGTAGGCTACCCACACTTCTACCCAGCCAAGTACAAATTCAGGAGTTCCTATGACCCACCACCTCAGGTTTGATAATTTGCTAGAACTCACATAACTTAGCAAAGTGCTGTATTTACTAGTACTAGCTTATTTATTTCGAGACAGAGTCTCACTCTGTCTACCCAGGCTTGAGTGCAGTGGTTCCATCTCGGCTCAATGCAACCTCCACCTCCTGCATTCAAGTGATTCTTGTGCCTCAGTCACCTGAGTAGCTGGGATTACAGGTGTGTTACCACCATGCCAGGCTAATTTGTGTATTTTTTAGTAGAGAC